GTTGAATTGAATAGCAGACATTTCAAATGAGAGTGAAGTCGTGCTGAACACTTGAAGCGATAGTGCTTGGCCTGCGGGTTTTTCGTGTGAGGAAACAGGGTCGGCCTCGTTTTCCACGGCCGGGAATGGGTTTAACACATTAACAGCACCCTCCCCGTTTCTCTCCTGTCCCGCTGGCAGTCATCGGCAGAGTCCTGGAGGTCACCGATCTGCCGGAGGGGATCAGCCGCGCGGAGGCGGAGAAGATGTTCGGTGAACTGTGCAAAGTGGGGGCCGTGATCAGGTGGATCCCGGATCACCAGCGGCACTGCGGGAGCGGGGACGCCGGCGCGCCGGCCGAGCACTCCAAGCCCTCCGGCGACCTGGCCTCCGCGTACACGGTCCTGGCCATGTTTCCCTCGAAGCACGCAGCCCAGAGCGCGCTGGTCAAACACAACAGCTCCCTGAACAAGTTCAGGCTGCGAACTAGCAAGAGGCACTGCGAGTTCCCCAACCTGGAGAGGGCTAGCTCTCAGTAGCGGGCGCTGCGGCGCCGGACCCGTAGCCACGGCGGCTGCCGGCTGCTGCCACACTTCCTCCCGTTCCCCGTGTCCTGTTTCTCACTCAGTCGGCTTGTTGTCACGGGTTTTCACTCGAGCTGTAGTGACTCTGGGGATACGTTGTCCTTGTGATGTTCTAGCACGCTGAGAAAACGAGCGATCGGCAGACAATGACGTAGAGACGCAAGTTCCCAATAACCCGCCACCCACCCCACCCTACCCCAGTCCACCCCAGTCCACCCCAGTCCAGCCCCGGTTGAGAATTGACTGGAGCGTATCAAAGTGCAGCACGTTCGGTTGTTTGTTTGTTTTTTTTAGTTTTCGTTTTATATTTGTGAGGTCTTGTGTCAGATCCAAAGCTCTGATGTACAGCTGCTTTATTTCGGACTTTTCGGAAGCATCGCCCATCGCCCCTCTCCGCCGTAGGAGAAGCGCACTCCGGAGAGGGGGCCACTGGCAAGCCACTCGTGATCCTGTGTCTCAGAGGTGTCTTAGAGCTTGAGAATCTTGCTTTAGTGCCTTCTAGCAGAATAAAACTGTTAACATTCATGTTCTACACAACAAAGGACACCTTGGTGTAACGTACAAACAGACGTCCAGTACCTTGTGAATAATTTATACAGTAGCTTAAAAAATATCGAGTCACTTCTTGAGTGGGAATGTTACGCTGCCAACAGGCGCAAATGAGAACAAACTCCTTGATTCACAATACTGTAGCTGGTTGAAGCTTAATTTATAAATTGGAAAAACATCGCATCTCCCTTCCCTCATCCTCACTACGTAAATTGTCCGTTACTTCTTCTCCAGGCATATAACAACGCCCAGTTGTCTTAACGATTTGATTCAAGACCCTTTTTAATCGCATCCCATTAGAAAGGGTCAGTGGAGATCCGTTTGCACAGTTATAGACCTGAATACTCTTCTGTTTCACTTTCTCCAAAATGTGTGGATTCTGAAAGGCTGTACAATGTTTGCTGGTGCAAGTCGTTTTTATTTCAGTTTGAAACCAATAAATGTTTACAAATACCAAATAACGTGCTCTTTCAAACTCCTGGTAATTTTAATAGATGCGACTGTTCAAAGATGATCAGTTATCCAAACCTGTTGTCTCTCCACGCGATTATACGTTTTAAAGCTGCGCCCGTGTTCCACCTGTCGGAGCCGAAAAAATGAAAAGATTGCAAAACAATTACTTTAAATGAATTTTTATATATTTATGTTTGTTTTTTCTCTTTAAAAATTGTACATTTGTTTCACTGTGGTAGGTATAATTCTATTTATTCCTTTTTTAAAAAGGATATTTCGTTGTTATATTGATTCCATTAAAACCTAATTTTTCACCACCTTTCAAGCCGCATAAAGTTCCGATATGTATGTTCTGGAAAGGACTGGGAAACAGTCTGCTCTGAGCTTCGAGGGTGGCATGAAGTGAAGAATATTGAGCTCTGCCTTTTTAAGGATGTCTTTGGTTTTGCCGTCTGTGTTTGTACCGGGGTTTTTTACGGTGTTGTTGTCCGAAGATTTCTTCCATTTATGTGTGCCCTTTGTTACCTTCAGAGCCCACAGCTACGTTTCTGTCTTACATATTCCATCTCAAGAGCCATAATACCAACACATTGCTTCCGGTTTACTGTGTTGAATGTATATAATATTGTAACGGATTCGGGTTCTCGGGCTTGTACAGTCGTCCATCCACCGCATGGACTCGAACCCGGGTCTCCGGCGTCGCTCAACAGGGGTCTCGCCGGCTGAGCTGAAGAAGACCTTCCTCAGCCCGGCCGGCCAACACCCCTGTTATGCGCAGGGCCGTAGTCGTTACAATATCCTTTTTAAATAAAAATACAACCGCGCTGAGTTTGTTTTTTTTTTTCGTCCGAGAGTTAAGAAGGGACTTGCAGCATCTGTAGTTCACTAGGTCAACGGGACTGTCCCAGAGTCTCAGACTGTCGTCTGTTGTCGAACGACCGCAAAACCCTCATCAGTGATTTGCGTTCGTACTTTTTCTCTCCACGGAGGTGTTTCACCAGCTTACAGTGTCCGCGTATACAGGCTCCACACCGTTCAGTACACGCCCATTCGCGTGCACGTACTGCGCGACTTCTGCGGTTTGCGAACCGAGGAGCTGCAGGGAGAGCAACCTCGGGCTCCGGCCCCGGGTCCGAGGGGCAGGAGAGGTGCGCGACAGGTACGGCTCTGTTAGCACTTACTCGGGGTAAAGAAACCGGTTCTCCTCGGAGGGGAGACAAACACGATCCACGGAACCAGTCTGTCCCAATAAAAGAGGTAGGATCTTGACTTTGTCGTCGAACTGCCCGCTTGAAAACTTCAGTGGCGGAACTGGACGGTAGGTGTGGCAGCGCCTGAGCGGAGATGAGCTGTTCATCGTCTCTGGGGTGACGCAACTCCGCAAACACTGCGCAAATTGGACTGAACGGCAGAAAAAGAACATGAATGAGGGCTCGTATCGCTGCTCAGCGTCGCAGCAGATAGTGTTTTTATTGCTACTGCTCCCTACAACCTGATCTGAGATGTGTGAGTCATGGAATTGCTCCCTGTGACTGAGAATCTAAATCTTTTTACGTTTAGGGGCATAACTGGCCATGCAAGGCGTTGCTCATATCCTTCTCTACACGAACTCAATTTATTACACCTGTATAGAGATGCGTACTACGAGGGTAGGGTAGCTAAGTGTACAGAGCCGAGTCCACGAGGTGAATGTTGTAATGCCAAAATACTGCAGGGTACACAAGTTTGCCTGACACGCCTTTCCGGTGTGGAGTGGAAGCCCGCCCCCTGCCGGTCACAGTGTGCAAGCGCGGAGTGGAGTGGAGTGGGCTGAGTTCAGGGACTCCGCCTACCCTTCGCTTTCTCGGTGATCGTCATGAGAAGAAAAGCGTGAGAATAATATCCATCTTAATAATAATAATTAATAATAATAATTGCTTACACTTATATAGCGCTTTGCTGGACACTCCACTCAAAGCGCTTTACAGGTAATGGGGATCCCCTCCACCACCACCAGTGTGCAGCCCCACTTGGACGATGCGACGGCAGCCATAGTGCGCCAGAACGCTCACTACACATCAGCGATCAGTGGGGAGGAGAGCAGAGTAATAGATAGATAAAACTTTATTAATCCCGTAGGGAAATTAATGTAGCCAGTTCATAGAGGGGGATTATTAGGAGGCCATGATTGGTAAGGGCCAATGGGAAATTTGGCCAGGACGCCGGGGTTACACCCCTACTGTTTTCGAGAAACGCCCTGGGATTTTTAATAACCACTGAGAGTCAGGACCTCGGTTTTACGTCTCATCCGAAGGACGGCGCCTGTTTTACAGTATAGTGTCCCCGTCACTATACTGGGCCATTAGGACCCACATGGACCCCAGGGTGAGCGCCCCCTGCTGGCCCCATTAACACCTCTTCCAGCAGCACGACCATCGTCACTGCGGCGACTAGGTGCGTTAAACTGCGCGAATCCGAGTTGTTCTCACAGCGACTCCAAGTGCTGAAGGGCCCTGGATGCAGCGACCTTATTCTTAATGTAAAAAGGTGAAGCTGTAAATTATTTAATATAACATTGTATATAACTGCAGTGAATATTTCTATTTTGTCTATGTAAGACCTCGACGCATTTTTCATCCTATTCTTTTTAATTTTTCAATTTTCTTTCGAAATAAATGGATCTAGTTTTTCCAAACACGGGTGCGCTGGCGTGTTCATAAACGGATCTCGGACCCCCTCGCTGAGCCCTACCTACCCGTCTCAGACGGTGGGGGCAGTTAGCGAGTTTGTTTCGGCACGTCTGGATCCTGACCAGCGGGACCGGGAATCAGTAAGTCCCATTCCCGCTCAACAGGCCAGCTCTAAATAAAAGTCACACGTGTAAGGGTTGAGCTGAAAAATACCATTCCTGGCGGAAAAGGTTTCGATTCCTGCAGTATTTCTATGAGTCTGTTACCCATCTCTCGCTTGAGGCTGGGAATTGAAGCTGAAGTTTAATTGAACATCTGGATTAGCAGAATTCATACAGCGGTGCGAAACCTCAGGCATAATCACGGGAAACCCAGTTTTTTTAAGAAAGATGAGCTTAACAACGGTCTCGGCGTGTAAATGTCCATAACGTCATCTTTGCACAGTAGACCCACTTTTTTCCCCAGAAGTTCAGCGTCTGCGCGTAGAGGTTAACTGGCGAGAGGGTCGTGTGGGAGGAGACGGTTTGCATGTAGTATTTGTCCCGAATATGAAAAAGTAAAACAGAATAAAATTAAAAACGCTCAGGTGGGGAGCTGCGTCAGCATGCGCAGGGGGCAAAGGAAGAAGTAAGGGTTTATTCCTGCTGAAAAGAGAAGAAAAGAAACACAACGTTTCGGCTGTGGAGCCTTCTTCGGGTGTGAGTCACTTTCTTCTCTTTTCAGCCTGGAATAAACCTATTTACTTGTTCCTCAAATTAAAAACGGCATGGGATGTTAACGGAATCAAGAACATTGTCCAAATACTTTCAGTTGTTTCGGTCTGGCAGCTGCGAGTGCTGTTCATTACTGCCATGTAGCGGCTTTCCGTCCGACAAGATCCTCAAAAAGCACTGTACTCCGAGCTGGGGGCTCAGTCCTCAGTCCGAGCTGCACAGCGGGACCGGCGGAGGAGAGAGAGGCTGCAGCACCAACTGCACCCATGGGGGGCTTTAAGAGAAGCCAGTCTGTAGATATGTGGTAAAAAAACACACGCGGCTAAAACCTCTATTCTGACGCACGGCGCCCCGGGATGTGTTACAACCAAGCAGCCGGGAGCTCAGTTTAGCGTCTCATCCGAAGGGTGTCGCCTCCCACAGCTCAGTGCGCCCCGTCAGTAGGGCGGAGCGCCACCTGCCTCTTCACCTGCTGCCCCTAGAGATCTGCCCAGCTGTCTTTATGATCCCCAGGGGGCAGAAACACACAACACAACACGGACACGAACAAGGGCATCAACTGCTGAGCAAGAGATCAGGCTGCAAGCTACTTCTAAAACAATAATAAGCCATTTGTGTAATGTATGCAACAATTATACATCCCAATGACTTAATAAAACTGCCTGCTTTTCCTGCAATAAAAGTAAACAGCAGAAGTAAGACGTACAGCTCACTGGTATATCAGTCCTTGGGCTGCCTAATTCAATCAACACTCATCTTTTCTACATGTCTAAATGAGTTTGGTATTTCCGAGCCCCGCAAGCGGAGACCGACCAAGAGGCGCAGCTCTTTAATTAAACCCCTCGTGATTGCATCGACACTCGGGCGGCACAAGACAGCGGTTCCTAACTTTGCAACTCCAAACACAAAACACATTCAAAGCCCCAGACAACAATTTTAGGGGTATCTTCACACGTATGCGGCGATGCCCTTTCTCAGGGATAACTGCACACAGGTAAACTAAACATGATGTAACAATCTTGACACACGAAGAAGGCTTCACGGCCGAAACGTTGTGTTTTCTTTCTCCCTTTTTTTCAGCATGGAATAAACCTATTACTTGTCCCCCATGATGTAACAATGTCACGTTGTTAAGAAACCCTGCTGCCTGCCCCCACGCACACAGAGAAATCCCCATTTTAGAGGAACAGCCTTGAAAGAGAGTCGTATTTATACGCAGAGCAATACCACTACGGTCTCCGGCGTTGTTACTTTCTCTCACTAATCACAGCTGCTGCAGCTACCTGCTGCGATATGATGCACCCAGCGCCGGGGAACTTCACAATCAACTACAAATCCCAGAAGGCAGCCGCCGCGTTCGTGGACTACAATTCCCTGCGTGCCCTCCGCCGGTGTAACGTAGCCCTGTTCCGTGGTGGGATTGAAGGTTCTGGTAATCACCGATGCGATCAAAGAGCTGCGGCAGAGAGGCGGGGGACTGAAATCGTTTGGTATAAAATGCTCTGGTTTGAGGGCTCGATCCCTGCTGCCATCGCCTCGGCCAAACTGCAAAACTCCGTTTTTGTCGTCGTCATCACAGGTATTTCCCCGACGACGGGCGAGTACGCCGAGGAGAGAGGGGCTCAGGGGCCGGCGGAGAAGCAGGCCCCGTGTCGGGGATCGCGGTGATTCTCACCCCGGGCGCAGGCGAGCCGCGGAGATCAGCCCCCCCTATGGGGGCGACAGCCCGGGCAGGGGGCAAATAGGCACAGCCCACGGGATGTCGATCCCCCGACACCGCGTTTCCAGGCGGGGTGACCCTAACAGGTGGCTGGCGAGCCGAGAGAGAGAGGGGGGGGGGGTATCGTGACCATTACAGATCAGCTGGCGAAAGCGGGGTTCGCGTATCCGCGACACTGAGCGACAGGACGGTATCGCTTTGTAGCCGGGAACCCCGGGCCGGTGACTTCCTTGTGCTACGTGGGGCTTAGCCATTTGGCGTTTGTCTAACAGCTCACGGAAACTTTTTTGGTTTTTACAAATGCGTTGCATCACGTCAGAATACCGAGGGGCTGGTTTTCCTGTAGTCTGGAGAACAGAGCCGTCGTAGGTGGATATTGACGTTGTTGTTGTTGTTGTGAACAAGGGCGATTCTGGGGTTTAAAGTAAAGAGACGACGCATCTGCTGGTTTGTGTTCGGGGGGTTGAGTGTGCAGCATAGCCGACCTTCGACTACCCATCTGTCGGAGGTCGTCACCGTCACAAAACACGCACCTTTCTAAATAATAATAATAATAATAATAATAATAATATCGATTACTAAAGGGCTCTGCATGGTGTATTTTGCAGCTGGAGAGTGTTAATGAGCAGCCGCAGTCCAGAAGACTGCAGAGGTGCGGGACCGTGGTTTTGTGATGTACAGAAAAAAAACAAAAAAACGACCATAAATTCTCGTAAAGGGGGGGTAGACGCGGGCACAGCCTCCCTGTCTCGGGTTTTGACGGGCGCTGCAGTGCGTGTGTGTGTGTCATCACCCGGGTGGCACAGCTTTGACTCGGCACTTTTCTAACCGTGGCTTGTGTCCTTCAGGGGATGACGAGCAGTCCACGCAAGTGATCTCCAGCTGGGAAGATGGCCGAGTCACGGAGGCAACGGGCCAGTCCTTTGTTGCGATTAAAATTGATGCCAAGAGGTACAGTATGGTGCCAAATGCAGATGCAGGCCTGGCGCAGTCTGGGATTCAGTTCATCACAGGAGAAGCATCTCCTGCCTGATGTGTAATTACTTACATTCGCTCAGGCTGGGCCCGGTGGTGATCAGGCTGGGCCCGGTTGTGCCAGGGGGCGAATGTCCTCTCAGGATAAGGACTGCATCGTGGCCAGTCCCGGTGACCCGGATGAGAAGCGCTGGTTCGGGAATTTTAAGTGAATCTTGTCTCCAGTGGAAGCAGTTGGGGGGGGGGGACCCAGGTCTGTTACAATCAAGGTTTTGTTTTGTTTTTTGTGGATCACGTATTAATTAAACCTTCTTATTTTTCAGCGAGACCTGTGTGCAATTTTCCGAGATCTGTATCCTTTCACTTTAAGTTGTGTGTTCGTCTTGGGGTCGCTCAGGAAGGCCCCTCTTCCTCCAGCTCTTTGTGGCCCAGTCGAGGCTTTGAGCTGCTTCCCCTGGAAGAACCGTTCTCCTTAACGCCCTTGTTCAAGACCCCGTGGTGTGCATCCCGTCCAGCTTCTTCATAGGCGACAACGGCATTCCTCTGGAGGTCATAGCTGGCAGCGTTCCCGCGGCGGAGCTGGTGAAGAGAATCGAGAAGGTCAAGCAGGTACTTCTGAGCCCGTTTCTCGCGGGACAGGTGCAGCCAGCTCCTTTTGCCCGCAGATATTTCCAGCTTGAGCGTTCGCGTTCTGCTCCAGCACCTGGCTTTCACACAATGTGCACGCCTCGTTTGGACTTCGGCCCAGAAGGGGACGTCCCTGGAAGGGGTGAATACTTTTGCAAGGTGCCTGTACAAGCAGCACGTGGCAAAAGTAAAACGTGATAAAAGATCTGCTGGTTTATTTTTCATTCGTGGATCTCATCCTTTTGTTCCTTGGATGATCCCAAAGAACCTGCTTGCAAATCCAAGCTGGGTCCCCTTGTTACAGGCACCCACCACCCTTTGCTTAAAGAGATGTGTTCTGTTATCAGTCTTCTCTGACTTCCTCATGACCTCCAGTTATGCCCAGCTGTTCTTGTTTTACTGCTAAACATAAAGTAATCCGTTGGGGGTGAATTGATTGGTACCTTTAATGATTTCAAGTGCCTGTGTCAGCCTCTGAATTGATTGCTTTAACCATTCCTTGTCTGACATTTCTCACTGAAAGCTTTTGAGTAACCTCTTAAGTGAATGCTAATGAGTGTCTTAAATACTGTAAACGAAGTATTAATATTTTTGGAGAATTCATTTTGATTCGTAAAACCTGAAGGAAGGTTACAAACAAGAGGTGGGCATTCAGCCAGTCTGGGTCATTTAGCTGCTTGGGTGTCTTTTAACGTTGTTGCTGCCGTTGAGACCGAGTGTCTCCTGGCTGATTGATGAAAATCGCACCCCTGTGTGTCACAGATGCACACGCAGAGGCAGGGAGGACATGGAGCAGGACCCACGCCCCCGCCTTCCGTCGCCCCGGAAACAGCCACGCCGCAGGAGCCAATCAGTGGCCCTTCGGGAGCCGCTGAGCTAGCCGAGCCCCGCCCACTCGCTGCCGCCGCTGACGGCCCTGCCGCTCCAGCTGCTTCGAAAGGTGAGCTGGCACAGGCCGTCGGGACAGTAAAGCAGGAGGAACCCTCAGCCACTCTCCCTGAAACTGTCTTTAAGGCTGGTCAGTGTTCTAGATACATAGATACTTTATTGATCCCGTGAGGGAAATTGCAGAAAAAGATCTGTACGAGATGAAGAGAAACCAGGGTGCGTGGTTTCTCAGGTGCAGTTAGAAATCTCGCTGTGCGTCTGCTTCTGACTGTTCTTCCTGCTCTTTTGGCAGAGTCCCTGTCCAGGCCTGTGGAGGACAGCACAAGCTCTGGTCAGATAAGTCCAGCAGAGGAGTCAAGCGCCTCACTTGATGATGCATCCGCTGGTTCCCAGCTTGAAGATGATCTTGGTGTAAAGGTTGAAAGGTCAGTTTAAAATGAATGGGGAAGTCTGTTCTGCTCTGTTCCTGTGGCATGTGCCTATAACCCTTGTGCAGAATAGCCTGGTCCTGTACATCTCTGGATCCGCAGTAGTGTTCCAGCATCCTAACAGTGTTGCTGAGGTGCCTGTTGATAGATCGTGTTCAAGTGGAACTAGTATAGTAAGTAGTATTTAAAAAAGACTTCGCTTGCATATGCAATCTGTTTGGGTTTGAAATGTGATTATTACAAAGAAAAAAGGTTAATGTGTATTGTGTGAAGTAATTTTCACAATTGGCCTCCCGGGAGAGGATGGCTGCACAGCATTAAAATATCAGGCTACAGCATGTATGCTTGTACGTTGTTTTTGAAACATCCGTTGAAGCATTTTGACATCTGGCAGTTTGCTTCTGTTAAGGCTGCAGTCGGACAGCCTGTCCCTCTCGCTGCTGTCTCTCTCGGTGTAAGTCTGTAAGCGTGCGGCCCTTGTACTGGAC